AGGGATGCGAGGTCAATGGTCTAACGACTACGGCATGCACGACTATGAGTACACCCCCCCCCCACACACACACAGGATATCGTGGAACGCCGGTACGGGCACATGCGCCAATGTCTTGGGTCGCACAGCAATCCGACAGCTGCGCAAGCGAAGGAAAGGGCTGCACGAGGGGACCTGCAACGCAGTTTGCACCGGGTTTTCCGCGCGAACCACAATCAGAATGTGCGGAAAGGGGAGGACTTCATCGCGTCCGGGATCCGGGGACGGATCGTGCTCCCCGTGACCGACGCCGAGCGGTCTGCCACGATGCGGGCGCCCTCGAGGAACCCGGTCTCAGCTGTGATGTTCCCGCGGTACATCAGCATTGACATACCCCATGCGGACCCTGTGGTAGGGGGAAGGGCATCCCAGGAGTCGACAGCAGCCCCTGCGGGCCAGACACCCGTAGTCTTCAACCCATTCCAGTAACCCCCAAGAGGGTTTGAAGGGAATAAGGTAGCGTTGGCTGTTTTTGGCCAAGTAGACGCAGGAGAGAGATGAAGAGAGAGAGAGCTAGAAGACTGCAAGTATTTCGATTTTCCCTCCGGGAATCATCAATAGGAGCATGGCATGTTATAAAGCTTTGCGGAAGCACTGGGCTTGCCCACGCACATACAACAGATAGGACTGTAGGGAGGAGCGAGTCTGGTGCCCCCCTTATCGAGCGGAGTCGGGTCCTGATTTTTTTTTTTTTATCGGGGTGGGAGACTCGCCCCAACAGTGTTCGAAGCACGTGTGAGTTTGACTTCCCTGTCACGCAAAACCCGCAGGCGTATTGCTCCCGTAGTCGAGTTTTCTATCTGTCTGCTTTCGTGTTGTTGGAAGTTTTCTCTCTTGTCTTTTGTTCATTGGAGATTCATCATAACTCCCTCCGCCTAAATCACTGGGTGTTTGATGCTCACGGACGAAGCCTCTCTGTTCCTTGTCCCCCTTATATCCTCTGTGTTATTGTCAATAGTCCTGCCGATTGTTTCGGGTGTAGACGTATCGGACCGACTTCGGATTCTTCACCAACACAGCCTTGAGGATGATCTGCCCCCGGCGATAGGAAGGTAGCTACTTCAGGTCAAAGGTTTACCGGTGTTGAAGACATTTAGGATGGTTACTGTATGGTCTCCTTGTCAATTTACACGAAGTAAAACTGGACGCAGTTCAACCCCACCTTGCGACTGCAACGCTCTCGGCTGAATGCGGCAACGAAGAGAATCCCCGCTGGCTGACATGGCTCCGGCTAGGGGGAACGACCAGTGTTTACACCCGTACACAAGACTTGTACTTCGAGAAAGTCTATTACGCGGCATAGGTGCGCAAAACGCGGCGCTCCTAGTGGCTAGAAGAATAGTCCACGCCAACTTCGACATGCACACAAATTGATGGTAGTGCTGATCCATGAAAGGTAAACATGACGAAACAAAACCCGACGCCACGGACAGACCAACTTTCACCCTCTGCCTCGGAAAATTGTCCAAGAGCCACCCCCGCTAGACACTCCAGCCCCCTCCAAAACCGACAGGGAGAAATCGATTGTAGCCGGTCGGGAAAGGTAACCGTCGTCGTCCCTTCCGTCCTGCGCAGGCACTTCTAACGTCGTAAAATCACTACCGACAGGGACCATCTCCCCACTACCTGTCGGGGCGTTGCTACTTGTCGGGGCGTTGCGCTCAGCGGCGTTCTCACCACCACGCCCCCCGCATCCTCCCTCGGCTGGACCACTCCCCGTCGCACTGGGGCCTGCTGTTTCAACAGATTCCTGCCCGAACCCACCCACATACGCCGCCAGGTAATCGAGGAGATAATCTTTTCTTGAGTTCATTGTGCCCTTCATAATCCCGGCGTCCTTTACGAGCACGAGAAGTTGCCTTTCAGTGCACCTGTCGCTAACCTCCGCCCGGGACATTCCCTTCAACTGATAAAGGGTGGGCGGGGCCTGCCTCCGCGCACGTCCCCCCTTTCGGCGCTTTGCACCGCCCCCCCCGCCCCCTCCTGCAGCCCCGCCCCCCTGTGCAACCCCCTTTGCTTCGCCACTACCGGCCCCCGCCCCTCCATTTGGCCCAACCCGTGCGTTCAGCTGTTGCCGCAAAGCAAGTGCGGCCTTCAAGAACTTGAGGGAAGTATTCTCCCTTACACTCTTCGCGAAGTCACTCATTCGCACGTTGAGGATTTTCCCGACAACGAAAAGAAACATCTCATGGGATACACTAGGATCGATGGCAGGAGGACCAGGGGGGCAGCAGTTTCCNAGCCCCGCCCCCCTGTGCAACCCCCTTTGCTTCGCCACTACCGGCCCCCGCCCCTCCATTTGGCCCAACCCGTGCGTTCAGCTGTTGCCGCAAAGCAAGTGCGGCCTTCAAGAACTTGAGGGAAGTATTCTCCCTTACACTCTTCGCGAAGTCACTCATTCGCACGTTGAGGATTTTCCCGACAACGAAAAGAAACATCTCATGGGATACACTAGGATCGATGGCAGGAGGACCAGGGGGGCAGCAGTTTCCCCACATTTCCTTGACGACCTCCGCCTCGCTTGCAACTTTGAAAATCTCGGCTGGCAAGTCTCCAAGGCAAGCAACAAAGAAGATGGGTATTTCCAAAAAATGGAATATGCCCCTCTCCACGGCATACACGAACTCTACCCACTCCATCGTAGGGTAAAGAAGTCCCGGACCGTTCTTCATTTCGTTCTTCGAATCGACTTTGCTACGAATTCTCTCAGCATAGAATCAGTACATATCGCCTCCCCACTGGACCGGTGAGTGTTGTGTTGGACGACACGCACCCAATCCTGGGAAAGGTTGTTTCTTTTTTGATGCGTCCAAGCCTTGCTGGCCGTCCACCCGGCAATGTAGTACAGGACTTGCCCGCGCGGTATTGTGATCTGATACCTTTCACTCGGGTAAGAGAGCTCCACGGCCACGGAATCTTTGCGCTCTTTCACGTACACCTTGTACAACTCCTGCATTAAGGGGAGGGCATGGGGAACGGTTCGATCAGAGGAGCGCGGGCATGGGGAGAGTACCTCAGCTACTTGGCCTTGGAATACACATTAGCAAGATGAAATCGGATGGTTGGTTCTAGACCCGGGCACCAGGAATCGGTGGTAGCTCCATCACACCTATCCCTACCAGAAATAAACGCACGGCGCGCTCCCTCAGACCTAGAATCACCGCAGTAACGTGCAGATGCAGGAGGATGAAATTTTTGACTTGTTCACACACGGATGCGGAGATGACACGCAAACCCTTCCACAAATTGCCCAACTCGCTGACTGACTACCATATCAACACACCTCCTCCACGTGATTGATGATGCAGGATAGGTACTGCAACGCCTTCTCTTCCTGGTAGTCTCGCAACCCTGCCTCCAACACTTCCGGCTGACTTATCCACGCCAGGAGTCTACTCTCCCAGCCAGCAAAGCGGGTCAAGGTAAACGCAGTCGCCGCCTTAGTATCAGCCTCACGGTGTTCTAAGGCGGGGACTCAGTCAACGTGGCCGTTCCAATCGTCGGAAATCAAGCTCGTGGTCGGGGCAAGATCTTTGACCTTCTTCCAAAGCGGGCCGAGCCAGCGTTTATGCCTCTCGAAGAAGAGGGGGTCCACCCTCTCCCACATCATTTCTTGCCGCCGTCTAGGTCTCCGCGAAGACCGCTCGCGATTTGGCTCCGCGCGTAAACCCTAAGATTTTGTACGGAGGGCTCGTCATCCTGTCGCATCGTCATCCAGACGGCCGTGGACCAACACAAAATGCGCGGGTGAACAGCTTGTAACCAATAGGCCCTCGTTGCGATGTTGATCAGTCGTTCAACTAAACGATAAAAGCTGATACGACTCTGCGAGTTTACGCCAACTGAATACATTGGCCGATACTTCGTGCTTAGTCTGAATTGCGCGAGCAGACAACGATTAACATGGCGATCTCACCCGAACATCACCCTATTCTACAGCGGCATCATGCATATCGCGGACCATGTCCTTGTAGCGCTCCGCCTCTTCGTCCGAACCCTCCGTGTCGTCGTCATTTTCCTCATCGTCGGAGTCCTATCGGCGCCCTTGCGCCGAACAGCATTCGAGAGCACAAGGGGAGAACTATATGACGCAGCCGCACTCTGTTTTCTTTGGGAGCATCCGGAGAGTTCAACTTTGCGGAAATGACGTTGGAGTAACAGGGCGATACATCAACACCCAGCAGAACAAAGTATGAAACGATAACACAGAAAATGCACTCTAGTAGCCACTGCTGAGACTTGTTGACTCTTAAGTAACCCAGGCTTCAGCTTACTTTTGCGCCCTGGATGCATCTCGCGATGTGTTCCTGCATCATCGCTGTCCTCTTTCTCCTCGCCGCCGGCCTGCCATCAGTGTGCGAGAATGATGCCCAAAGCGTTACGAACGGCGGGATCTATATGACGATTATTGCTGTCGCGGAGACGCTCAATATATCGATGATCGCAACCATGTAAGCAATGGGCATTGAGACAAGTGGGGGAACTAGGCGCGAAGTCACCGCACCAGTTGGGCAATTCAAGAGAACGAAGACCGAGAGAAAAATATTGCGCAGTGTCATGGAATACAACACGACAATGGACGCCATCAACATTTTCCGCAATAAATTCTCACTGTAAATAGCCTCGTAATAACCCTGACAGGTGATGGGGTGTCCTCGCCGAAAACTGCGCTCCGCATCCATTCCATATCGGCACCTCTGGGAGGGGGTAGGGGGAGGGGAAGAGATAGAGAGGAACCAAATTAAGAAAAATGTTTCGTGGGTCTGCGCTTCATATTTTGTATTTTTCTCCCATCATTAGACTCTGTCGTCTGCCCCTCTGGCCCCTATCCTCCACTTCTACCAGCTAGACGATCCAACCGGGGTCACACAGGAGGGAGGGTTGGACCCCCTCCTGCGATTCCTGCCTGAGGTATTTTCATCACGAGAAGGGTACAGCAATCCCTTCCCTCGCGACTTATGAAGTCGATCAACTTTACCAACAACGAGCTTTGCAGCGCGTCGCTTCCAACGGAGACCAGGATTTAAATAGCGAGAAAATAATCACTCTGTCGGGACTCGAACCCATGACCTGCTTCTGTACCGTACGGGAGGTAGAACAACTAATTCCACTATTCCTCAAGAGCGAGGCCGCCACCGAACTGGAAACAGGTACGGCATGAATAGCCACAGCCAGGGCCATCACATGCCTCTGGCAGCGGCGGAGAATTTGGAGATTTCGGTCTAGCGCTGAATTAGACTCGGTGGTAGCTACACAACAGCATCTAGGTTAAACCCGAGGGCATGCTGGAAGCCATAAGCTTGGTCTGTTCGTCATCAGCGTGCTATGGCGTTGCGTACGCCCCACTTTCATCCGAGGCGAAAAACATGCGCATGCATTTTGTGTTTAAAAAACAATAGCAAACGCTGCTGCTGCTGCTGCCTCTGGGAGAGGGTCCCTCGCTGGCGGGTGAGATTATGATCCGCATTTTTGGCGAGTAATCTGCGTACACGAGACCATTTTCCAAACGGATTTCTTCCCAAGAGAGCCTGAGACATGTACTGACGGCACACGCGACGGCAGGAAGTGCCCCCACTCCAGCGAGACAGACCTGCCTGCGACGTGCGGGGTAGNGCGAGACGGACCCGCCTGCGACGTGCGGGGTAGTCGGATTGCGGCTCGCACCTACCCCGGGGTCTTGCCCTCACGATGTCATGACACAAGGACTCACCGTGAATAAATCCCGCGCTGTCCTTGCAAATAACCTCCCTTGTGATGGTGTGGTCCTGCCCTGCGAGTACGACAGCGGGCTCCACCCCGGTTGTCGTATGCGAGCGCGATGAAAGTGGGGCGGAAGGTGGGGCTGAAAAGGGGCCTAAATTGTCCCCGGGTTGCTCCATGTACGCCTGCATACTTTGAAAACCACGGGTAGGCTTTCCTCTCCAATACTATTTTTACTACATGCGCTCCTCTGTCAGCATTCAATGGTTTATTGTTGTTGACATATACCATTGCACAAATTCTTTAACACCTTGCTCGACAAAGACAGTACAAAATAGTGATGTCAATGCCACCAATGATCTCGGACTGGCAGCTCTACACTATGCTGCATCTGTTGTTGGACCTGTCCACGACAAAGGCGATGCCGTGCGTGTACTGTTGGGAGCTGGGGTTGATGTCAACGTGAACACCACCACCGACTCCTGCTTTACGCCGCTCCATGTTGCCGTTGATGGCCGGATAGCATCGGACGGCACGATTCGCGCCCTTTTGGAGGGGGCCGATGTTGATTCGCGCGCTCGACACGATCAGACGCCACTGCACATAGCTTGCAAGCATGCGAGCGTTAGCGGCGTGGAGCTTCTACTGCGATGGGGAGCAGATGAGCAGCTCACGAACAACCGTGGAGACATGCCCGCAGACGTGATAAGAGCGCGGCAACAGGGTGACCTCGACGACGAAGAACATGACGCCGACAACCAGCGCATTTGCCGAATGCTGACACGCGCTCCAGCCGACAGGTCATGGCGTCGCCGCGGTTGGCTGGTGCTGAGTCGTTACTGCCCGACCAGGGTACAGATCGACAACGGCAGCAGTAGCAGAGGCAGCTACAACGGTAACTCCGCCAAGGTGGCGACGCTCAGCGGCGAGGATACGGGTCGGGGTGATGAGGAGACGGAAGACCGGATAATGGCTGACTTGAGGGATTTGGTGGACTGGCTGGTCGGACTGGAGGCAGATAGCTTGTTCCGCTTGGTGGTGGCCTTTCTGTAAGATACGAGAGATCGTGGGGAGTTACAATGCAATGGTGCAATCACGGGGGGGGGGATTAGCGAACGAGTTCAACTCTACCTACATGTAGATATTCTTATTTGAAACAGTTGTACGGGAGTGCAAAACGACGGAGGTTTTGAACAGTGCTGGCCGATTAAGGAAAAACTAGGAGTAGTACGGCTGAACATTTTCGGTTGCCCGCGATATCCCGCTTCGCCGTTCGGAATTGAGAACTTCATATGTATACCGGTATAGTCTATTCTGTGTTGTGCTCTTGGCGGTTTACCAGCAGGCTGCAACGAAACTATTTTTGTCGTGCTGTAGCCAACCGTGCCTTTGAGAAGTCTACAATGCGTCAACTCGGATTCCCGCTCACACGTTACGGTGTTGTCCTGTACCTACCACTGGTACTGTAGCCCATCCATGTTTTTTTCGTGCGGCGATACCTCCGCATTGCAACAATCCTTTGGATGCCATTCCAGGCCTGAGCTACTTGCAAGTCCCTCTGTTGCTATTGCATACCACGAATGACGGAACAACTGCGTTGTCGCACGGTGGTTCCCGATTTTATGTAGCGATCGTTTGGAGTTGTCAGCAATTTCGTGCACGTCGATCATGCTGATTTGAAGGAGCAGGTAAGGTATGCGTGACAGCACGCATGCAGTGAGTGCCCCCTGCGCCTCTCGATTTGTTTACTCCGAAGTATTGTTTCGTGCAGATGTAGTTTAGGCCTGACGTGTTCCGTTTTCTTCTATACGTTTCGGAATTCCCCGATCAGAGTCGCCCCGCGGGCGATATTTTCGTTATTTCAGACCCCCCCCCCCCACACACACGAACAAGTGGCCACGGTCCAGTTGCCGTAGAGATCATGAGGATGGTGAAGAAGCCGGGAGGATGGAAGCAGAAGCTGTGGAAGGGAGACAAGTTGGAGCTGCTGCTGTTTGGGATTCCAAGGGACATGACGAGGATAGAGT